AGACTTTATGTGTTGAACTGGTTTTTATATTATGTGGTGTATTATTTGTATTATGTGTAAGGGAAGTATCACTGGATCTGTCAAATTACGGGGGAAATATACTCCAAATAAAAAACACCTACATCTGAGGCTCGGATTTTTATCTGGGCACTAATTTCATATGGTTGCCGTGAATAATTTCATTTCTAAATCCATCCTCGCTTCACAGTTCCTGTCAGTGACTAAATGCTAAMTTACCTGATCAGATATCATGTAGTCGACGATGTACTTGTTGTAGTACGATGCTAAATCATTCGATGTATCAGGGGTGTAGGCCTTGCTGATAATTCAAAGGGGAAAAAATAAAAGTTAGTTACAGTTATATAAATCCTWGTAAAATACTTTTACGCAGTCTTGCAAAATTGAGCGGTTTACCTTTCCAATCAAATATAAAGGTTGATTTGAGACGAATAAGTTGGTAAAATATTGTTTCGGATAATCATGATTTACAGTAACGTTCCATAACACTGAAATGGCTTTTCAATAGAAGCCATTGAAATGTTCTTGGATTTGGCTACCAAATGGCTTTTTTTGTTTCTCTGTTTGGGGTTTTCTGTTTTTACGAGACTGATATGAACAAATTGATGATGACATTGAAGATATCGAAACTTTGTACTCAGTATTTTATCACTGATTTTCGTAATAAAATGTTTTGCACAATCTTTGTTTATGAGATATTGATCTTCAAATCTCTTACTTAAATATACTCAAATATACTTACAGTGTTGGTTGTTTGCCGACAATAGAGGGTCCCCGTTCCATCTCCTTCTTCACTCTCAGCAGCTCACCGAGTATTTGTGATCGCGTACGAGTTTTAGCACGAGTTGGTGACTCCATTCCTGGAGTGTCGCTCTCTACAATGTGCTTGAGCTCTTCCTCGGTGCATTCCGTGCAAAATTAACCAATCAAAAGAGAGGAAAACGAAAACCATCAAATCATAAGCCAGTCCTGGATTTGGACTCTGTATGAAGTCTATTCATATGTCAAATCCCTGCTCCATGTGTCTGGGATGCTTGGGGATTAGTATGAAAGACAATCCTAGTAATTACCAAGTTTGGCCAAACTTAAGTTCCGTCAACTAAAGCTCAGTAGTAATTTAATTAAATTTGATAAGAGAAAATACAGTAAAAAATAGAATTAATATAAAGAACTATCATTGATATTTTTTCTTGGCGGCACTRAGGAAGGGTTTTTTCCCAGAATAATTTAGCAAGACTTACATTTGGCCGACTTTATTTAAAAAATTAGCACATTGTTTTTATCGTCGCCAAAACCTTTTTCTCAAAGTCATGCACTTTAGCTCCGAAAAACTTTCGCACAAACTGATCGAGAAAGCATACGAAAACTTATAAAAAACGCGTGAACAACACCTTTTTCAAATCATTCAGTTTTAAATTCAAAAAGGTGGGAAAACTTTTTATACGATGAACTAAAAAGCAYACATCTTAATTTTATCAAAAGTACATATAAATGTACTGAATATTATGATTATTTTGTTCTAACTTTTCGTCGGGGATTCGGCGTAGCTTACTTCGCTTTTTTCTGCCATTTTCCCTAACAAAAGGAAAAAAAACATCTCGGTTACATCTTGGTAAACAAAATGTCAATAAACAACACTCGTAGTGAGTATACTTGTCTTCACATCCATGCTTTCTTTGTCAAGCATTAACAAACATTACCACATTCTCTTTAAGTACAAAAACAATATTTTTTCGCCGTTTGAAATTTTCAAGACATTTTATTCAGTCTTAAATTCTACATACCTATCAGGAGTAATCCAAAGCGTGTCTTCACAGCAAACGTTGATTGAAAGTTTGATTAAAAACATTAAATTGGCTTCTTGATGTTTCCATAGAAACGTCCAAAGTGACTCAACCCCGATTCCCAGTGGACTCGTGGAAGAGAGTACAAATAATGAAATATTTACATATCGCTTAGAAGTCAGTTAGAAGTTAATTAATTGATCTTAATGAGTTCTGCAAATAATATCCGCGAGTGATTGCAGAGAGCTAATGATGTTAGTACTTATTGTTAACCTAAATGTCAGCTTGGCTTTTTCTACAAAATTCAAATCGTTCACAGTATAGTTAATCTTGGACCAATAAAAATCCGTGACTGTCAGTTTGGTTCTTGAAAATCGTACCATATGTTCTAAAGGCATCATTTTCTTTGGTATTTCTGAATATTTTTTAAACGCATGTAAAGCTATTCCCTGCTAGCATAGTCTCTATTCTCTTTCTCTTCCTTCTTTCAATCAAAACAAAACAAAACAAAACAAAACAAAACAAAACAAAACAAAACAAAACAAAAGGAAAATAGGCTTTGCTAGCAGTGAAGTAAAGCTAAAGCATCGACTAGAGTACGGTACGGTGTGTCATGGGTTTGATTCCCATCTGGAATTCAGAATTTTCTCTAAGTTCTCTATGTCTATTCCATTAGTTTGATTATTCATTATTGACATATGAATTATTATGTAGCATGTAAAGTTATCACGGAATAAAAAGTTAGAAAACTTTATCACAGTTTTGCTACAGCCGTCAAAATGTCATGGCCAGTTTTTGCAGTTATTTCCTTTTTAAATGTTTTATCTCATTGAGTTTTTGTCCACTGCTCTAAGAGCCAAAACCACTTCAAATTGACTGTTATATGAGCAGTTTCAGTTGCATTGGAATAGAGTGAATTTTTAAGATAAAAAATAATATTTCACTTGCGTCGGTACAACACGCTTTTATTACCTTTAGTTGTCACACTTGAGTCTTCATAAGTTGAAATAGAACATGCTGAACGAACTGTGGTATATGACATCTATTTACATATTCAGATTTGTTTGTTCAAACATCGTCCATAAATTCAACTATTTTTYTAGTATAGACTCCACAATACACTGAGTTAATTGCTGGTAAAACTCTGGAAAAACATTACCAATATTGATTTATAAAAACAGGAAACTGAAAATATTTTCATTCAAGAAAAATCTACAATAGTTTTCTCAAATACAGCGGTTTTCAATGAGATTAAATCGGAAACCTTTTTAAACCATGCGTCCTCTTCTTTCTTCTCCTCAGGAAAATTAAAAGCAATTCTATTCTATCTTCTCCAATCCGTTGCGATAATACCACGATAATTCTCCTTATTTGTCCGTCAAGTTTTTCGACTTCAGACCGCATGCCATTCCATTGATTGTTATGCCTTTCTTTATCAGAATCGCAAAAAATACTTTTGTATCGATGATAGAGTCAAAATAAAAATGCAATTCCCGAAAGGCTTAAAATAGAAAACAAAATGCTTAAAGCGTACATTGATCCATAACATTGTAAACGTTAATACTTTCCCATTTCTCATTTCTTATTCTCATTTCACCATCTGATCAGACTTTTCATCCCATATTTCTTTAGTCAGAGGTCTCAATGCCTTTGCTGAACCCTGTGATGTACCAAGATAAGAGTGGATCGCCTTCTTGACATGATAGCGAGACTGAGGGGGCAGGCTCTTTAGTTCCGACAGGTTCATTCGTTCCCAGTCCTTCAGCGTTCGGTCGTAATCCTTTTTGGCACGTTTTTCTTCCATTTCGACCAACACATTCTTCATTTCGGTCCTGAATTTTGAAAAATAAATACAATGAATGTTATTGACGTTCGCATTTGAAAATGTTCGATTGTACTGGCTCCCTGAGTTCCATAGACTGTTCGATTTGTTCAACTTTACATTATTCGCAATTTTAACACATACTATTCGATTTATTCAACTATTCGATTTTGACCCAAACTATTCGATTTATTCATCTATTCGATTTTGACCCAAACTATTCGATTTTGACCCAAACTATTCGATTTATT